AGTCTGTAGACCGACGCTCTGCCACTGAGCCAAACCGGTTTCGGCTGGAGGAATGCTTGTAAAGCATTGACGTAGCATTTCGTTCATGTGTTCTATGCATTTTTACTTTTTTTTTATTTTTAAAGAAATTTTTTATTGGTTTTGAGAGAAAGAGGAAGGGAGAGGGAGCGTGAAACATCCATGCTCCAGGCTGCCTCCTGCACACCCCCTAACTGGGGATAGAGCCCACGACCCGAGCATGTGCCCTGCCTGGAAATCGAACCAGCAACTTTGTGGTGTAGGGGATGCTGCCCAACCCACTGAGCAACACCGGCCAGGGCTCATGTGTCCTGTGTATTTTCAGTGAAGACTTTTACAAATCGGCTAAATGAGGCCAGGCGGATGGACCATTTTAGCTTAAAGCCGGCCTCTGTTTGCCTAATAATGTGCACAGCCCAGACCTCCAGTGTCAACACCGTTTTTTGGACTTTTTATTAGATAGGAGCCAGAATGTACTGTCTGAGTTACTCATACTCTTCACAATGGAGGCAGATACACTGGATTTTATCACACCTGCGTGTTAAGGCCTACAGGACTTCATTGAGGAATTCATTTTTGGGGGGGAAAACCCAAACGTAGATTTTCATTTTTATTTTTCTGGTGAGAGAGATTCATTTGGATGGATTTGCTGTTTCGGCGTTGGCGGTCGTTGGAAGAGCAGTCATGATGCTGGACTCCTCCTTTTGCAGTGTCCCGGAGGGACCAGCATTCGTAGCTGACGGGTGTGATAGAGTGCAAAGCGTGATTGTATGTAAAAACAGCTGTGCTCATGGCGACACTTAATCACGATGAAAATGAGTTAAGATTTGAATTAAAATCAAACACAGTGGGTCAGTGCCCTTGCATGGAGAACACAGCGGTGACGTCCTGGACACCCCTCCCCCCACCCCTGGCATACACTTAGCATTCTACTCCCACCTGGGGCTCTGGCCAGAGGGTGTGGGAAGGCCCACAGCTGTCTTTGGGGCCCACTCCACCCCAGGATTACTTCTGCCAAGTGTTGAAGGGAGTGACAGATGTTTCTCGATGTGATTATGAGCTCACAGGGAAATATTTCGGAGACTCATCTCTGAGTCATGGGTGCCTGGGATTTTCAACAGAAAAGATTGGGGTGTGCTGTGCAGTCACCGAAACCGGCGGACCAGCCCGGGAGGCGGGGTGGCTGGAGAGAGCCGGGGAAGCGGAGAGCGAGGCCCTCCGCCTCAGGCGGGACTGGCTCGATGCCTCAGTCAACTCCGGCAGAGCTGTGTTATCCACATGTAACTCTTCCGAGTAACGTTCCGGCCCTTAGCGGTGGCCCGGCTGTAACACCTCGGCCTGGGAGAGTCCAGGGGGGAGGAAGGGAGCGTTCCACAGCCAGCCCAGCCACCAACCATGCTCTCCTGGCACCTGAGAGTTTGTGGGCAGCTCTGTGGTTCCTGGTTCACAGCTCCGTGCCTCCCCTTGGCCCAGTTCCTTCATTTCAAAAGTCTAGGCGGGGAGGGGCCTGATCTGGAGGTCCCCATCTCCACCACTTGCTCCTCTGCCTTTTCATTTCTGTTCTTTTACCTCTCTGTTTTCTTCTTCTTTTTTCAAAAATATATTTTATTGATTTTTTTTTTTTACAGAGAGGAAAGGAGAGGGATAGAGTTAGAGACATTAATGAAAATCATCTGCTGCTGTCTGCACACCTCCCGCTGGGAATGTGTCTGCAACCAAGATACATGCCCTTGACTGGAATCGAACCTGGGACTCTTGGGTCATCAGGCCTACGCTCTATCCATTGAGCCATACTGGTTTTGGCTCACCTCTCTGTTTTCTTCCCCCCATTTCCCCCTCCTACTGTTGTCTTAGGCCACAGCCATTGTGCACATGGTCACCACTGAGCCCAGCGGAGCCCTCTGAGCAAGGACGAGGTCAGCCAGTCCCTCTGCATCTCGTAGGATGCTTTTTGGAAAGTGCTGGTGATTGTAAACGTAGGCACTATGGTATATAGACATTGCACCCCAGTAAAGAGAGAATTTTTAAAGCATAGACACCAGGCATTGTAATATTAGCTTTTGCTGCAATAGTGCCGTGTAACAAACTGCCCCCTTAGACTTGCTGGATTACAATAGCGTTTCTGTCTCTCCTGGGTTGGCTTCAGGGCTGCTACCTTAGACTGTGGGACCTGAGACTTGGCTTCAGGCTTCGGGTTGAGTTCAGGTTGGGCCCATGCATCACATTTTGGAGTTACAGCTTCACCGTGGTAAAGGGAGTACAGGAGGAAAAGTACAAGCTTGTGGTTTGGCTCAGTGGATAGAGCGTCGGCCTGCAGACTGAAGGGTCCCAGGTTCAATTCCGATCAAGGGCATGTGCCTTGGTTGCAGGCATAACCCCAGTAGGGGGCGTGCAGGAGGCAGCTGATCGATGTTTCTCTTTCACCAATGTTTCTAATTCTCTATCCCTCTCCCTTCCTCTCTGTAAAAAATCAATAATATATATATATATATATATTATTTTTTATTTTTTATTTTTTATTTTTTATTTTATTTTATTTAATTTAGAAAAGTACAAACATGTGAAGCTTCTGCAAACGCAGCTCAGAATCATCACGCTGTAGCTTCTGTCACCATTCCATTGGCCACATCAAAGCACATGGCCAAACCCAAATTTCAGTGGGATGAGGAAAAAGTACCCCAACTTTTGTAGGGCACTGTTGCACAATTATGTGATCAGGAAAAGCAGGGAAGTCTTGAGGACATTTACCCAGCCTGCTCCATGGATCCCATGCACACCGCCGTGAGAAGGGATTCCAGGAAGCGCAAGCAGCTCTGAGGAGGCCTGCGTGGGAGGAGCACTGCGTGGGAAATGCGTACAGGCGTTTCCGTGGTCCTCGCATCCCCTCTGGACCCTGGTGTTTCATGTCCATTGCAGGCGGGGAAGGGTAAGGGGCCCACCACTCTCCCCTGGTCCTTTGCACCCTGACCTCCAAACCCGCCGGCAGCCCTCTGCCCCTTGGAGCAGGTTCCTCTGAGCATCCCCTTCAGGTTTCAAAGATATTTGTAAAGCGACTTTCTGACTTACTTAGCTAAAAACATACCCAAGAATCTGAAACAACTGCTAGCAGTTCATAGTGCCCATGATGAGAGGCACGTCGGTGGCTCATCTATATGATAAAAGGCCAGTGACCGTAATGCCGTAACGACCAAAGGGCAGGTCACCAGGAGGTGCATTGATGGGTGCATTGATGAAATGTGTCTGGGTTTCCCGCAATTTCGCGCGCTGATAGCTGGAGGGCTGTTCGTGTCAGGAGCTGGAGCCGGTGAGCCGCTGGGTGTCACAGCAGTTGTGCTTACAAGACTCGTGGGAGGCAACGGGGTTTTGATCCAACAAGACAATGAGTTCCAGTCTCTCAGACGGAGTGTTGATTTCCATTGTGTGGAGGGTTGATTTCCCCTTTAAAGGGCCATTCGTAGAAGGTCGTGTGGGTACTTGAGAACAATCCTCATTTGCTTTCCTTTGACTGAGAAGCCCAGGTTGCTTAGAGATACAATAAAACGTGTTCCTTTGGCTAAACAGCTGAACGGCAATGAGAAATGAATACTTATTGGATGGCAAGGTCTTTTCACACCCCAGCCGCGTGGAAAGGGAGAAAAATGAGTTGTCAGCCCGAAACCGGCCCCTTTAAGAGAGCTGCGTGGGAGGAGTGTGGAGATGGCCACAGTATGGGGAGAGATAACTCTCATTATTCTGGCTCCCAGGTCTCCCAGGGGCAGGAGCCCTCCCTGTTCCCCGGGTCCTGTCACGCCTCCTAGGATGTCACTGTCCCCTCCTGGCTGTCACGGTTCTTGCTGGCCTTGCCCCAGCTCTCAGCTTGCCCATAAAGCCTCTCCGCCTACTGAAGCTCATTTCCCATCCTCGGCCAATCCCCGGCCTCCTCGGCCCAGCACTGACAGCCCCCCCATCCTGCCCCCCCCCCCCCCGAGGGAACCCAGCGCACGTCCTGTATCCGCTCACCCCAGCTCCTCGGAGGTGAAGCTTTCAAGTGCAGCCCGACCACCTCTTCTTTCCTCTTTGGATGTGTGTCCATAGGAAAGATGGATTATGGTCCTGGCTGTTGTTGCTGTTATTATTGGGTTATTGTTGCTATTATTATCACCGGTTTGGGGATGTCCTGGAGAAGGCCCTATTTGAATGGGGTCCCGGTGAGTGAGTAGGAGCGTCCGCCAGCCTCCAACGCCAGGGAACAGCATCTTAGGCAGAAGGAACAGCACTGACAAAGTCCACACCCAAGCGCAAGGAAAAAGATAACATTTTATAGGTTTTTTTTTCCCCCTCATAGCGGAGGGAAAAAATGCTGTTCCCGCCTCCCCACGCGTGATGGCGGGGTTTGCTCTGCCGCCTGATGGATGCCTGGGGGAGGGCGGAAGCCTCTTCCAGGGGCAGACATCTGCCGGCCGGGCACTGAGCTGGGCGCTCAGAGTGCTGGGGGCACAGAGAGCGAGCCCACAGAGACCCTGGCTCGCGAAGCTCATGCTGCAGTCACCCCGACTGATGTCCCCCAGCCTCATTACCCCACGCAAATGCACGTATGAAGGGGTCCAGCATGCATAGCAAGGGACGGACTGGAGACTGACCAGCTAAGGCGTCGGTAGGATGGGAGGGCGCAGGCACCAGTGTTAGGTGGAGAACCATTTGAACGGGGTCTAAGGCTACAGGTGGGCAGTTCGCTCATCGTTTTCCTCTTTATTCCCGATGCAGCCCTGCCACCTGTGGGGATGGGCATTGTGAATATGAGGGCCTTGGGGCTGCCCTGAACCACAGCTGTTTCGCAGCCCGAGGCACCGGATTCCGAGTGTCCTGGTGGGATGGACAGGAACGCAGGGGTATTGGGTTCCCGGGGAGGGGAGAGGGGGCACTGAGGGTTCACGGGCAGGCCCCCCCTGCTCCCCCCCAGACTTGTCCTGTGCCGGCTCTGACCCGCCCCTCCCCCCGCAGGTATGGAGAGTGCAATCACGCTGTGGCAGTTCCTGTTGCAGTTGCTGCTGGACCAGAAGCATGAGCATCTGATCTGCTGGACCTCCAATGATGGTGAGTTCAAGCTCCTCAAGGCAGAAGAAGTGGCCAAGCTGTGGGGACTCCGCAAAAACAAGACGAATATGAACTACGACAAGCTGAGCCGAGCCCTGCGCTACTATTACGACAAGGTGAGCGCCCGCCCGGGGGCTGCGGGGGAGGCGAGGGCCCACTCCCCTCCGTGGTCCACGGCTGAAAGCACGTCACCGTGCACTGTGAGGCCTGTCAGAAAGCCAAGGAGAGGCGCTGTATGCCGTTTGGGTGGTTTTGTGTGTGTGTGTGTGTGTTTTGAGAAAAACAGCGATGGTGATTTCTGTTCCCAGAATCCCTTAGGGTGTGGCCGCAGGTCCGGTTCTGTGCCGTCTGCATTGTCACCAGCCGTCGTGGCAGGACTTTGTGAGCGACAGAACTTCGATGCGGGCAGGTTGTGGGGCTTCCCTCACGGTGGCCGGGGTGACAGGGTGCCGGTTAAACCGGAGAAAGTCTGTTGATCTCATCTGGCGTGTAGTTCCCGCACCTGGGCCTTTCCTGGGGGGGTGGCAGCGTGGGCGTTTGGTTCGGCGCCTCTGTGTCCTCCTCGTTGATAAACTGGGATCCGGCCAGTCCTGGCTCAGGATCCCTGGGAAGACGAAGCGAGTGTCATGTGGTCGAGGTTACTTAAAACCACACATGTCAGACTCGAGGCCAGCGGGCCGCAAACCTCATTTATTCAAAGGACTTGTGCGGCCCGTTGCCTGCGAGTTTGACATGCTTGCTTAAAACAGCGCTTGGTACATGAACTTTGAAAGTTCCCTAATGCAGAGAAAAACCAAGTTCCTTTAAAAAAAAATTATCTATCTATCTATCTATCTATCTATATATTTTATTTTTTTAATTGATTTTTTACAGAGAGGAAGGGAGAGAGATAGAGAGTTAGAAACATTGATCAGCTGCCTCCTGCACGCCCCCCCCCCCCCAACCCCCCAGAGGATGTGCCTGCAGCCAAGGTACATGCCCTTGACCGGAACCGAACCTGGGACCTTTCAGTCCACAGGCTGATGTTCTATCCACTGAGTCAAACCGGTTTTGGTCACATTCCTTTTTTTTAAGTCACAGCATCGTTGCCAGAGCCAGGACAGTTGTGCGTTTTAATCATTTCCGGCAAAAGCATTGCTCTTTAGCGGCAACCTCTTCAGACCCAGAATTGTCGACCATTTTGGATGGGCTGTGTTGTTGCTGACCATGCAACCTCATCGACAGAAAGACTTAGCCTGAATGAGGGAGAGCTTCTGTTCTGGTTTTATCGCTCACATCCAAAGGCGAATTAAAAACTGATTTAAGTATTGGTTCCGGATCTGGGGAGACAGGATGAATGTTATTTTATTTAACGATTCCTCCTGCCAACCGCTTTGGAATTCAGGACCGAAGGATTACACGTTTGAGGAAGTGGAGGCATCGCTAATTATAAAGGTTCCTTCATGCGGTCGTAATGGCACGTGACTGTGGCACTGCAGGGTTCAAGGTGCTTTCCTTTAGGGTGGCAGCTGATGAGTCCCGGCTCCGTGCAGGGTCCTCCGAAGAGGTGGAAGCACTCGTGGCGAAGGCGCTGCCTGCAAGCCTGGCAGACGGTCTGTTGTTTTGCATTTTGACGCAGGTCCTGAGTCGCACACACCATGGGAATTGGGACCCTCGGGAGGAAAACTGCCGTCTCGCCGGCTGGCAGGGCGCCCGAGAGCCTGAGGCTTTAGAAAGAAGTCATTGTGTTAAGTTAAGGTGTCAGAAGAAGGGAGTCTGGGCCTGGGTTTCCCCTCTGGACGCCGGGGCTGAGGACCCGGGGGGCCGTCAGCAGGAAGGGAGATGGTGGGCTGGCAGTGACGCGAAAAGATGGCCACAGCTATTGCTGCGGAGACCACCCCTGGTCTCCCCGGAGCAGGTGTTTTTAGTCTCTCGGGAAAGCCATGTCAGAGGCCACAGCCACTGGCACGTTCTGGCACTTTGTGCCTAAGGCACTGGGCTGAGGGCTCCCTACCCTCCTCTCCCTGAAACTACAACAGCCCCAAGACGGCCCCTCTGGCATCGTCTCCTTTCTCAGTGAGGATGTGGGGCTTTGCTGAGAAACATGCCCGCAGTCCTGCAGCCAGGAAGCCGGGGAGCCAGGATACCCACGTCCCAGGCCAAAGGCCCACGCCCCACCTTCTGGGCCTTTCCTTCCTTTTGCCTCTGAATCTCCTGAGTTCCAGGTGGGCCGTCAGGCGTCGCCAAGTGGATTGCAATCTTAGACATTTTATATATATATATATATATATATATATATATATATATATATACACACACACACACACACACACACACATATATATATATTATTGATTTTTCACAGAGAGGAAGAGAGAGGGATAGAGAGTTAGAAACATTGATGAGAGAGAAACATCGATCAGCTGCCTCTTGCACACCCCCTATTGGGGACATGCCCACAACCAAAGTACATGCCCTTGACCGGAATCGAACCTGGGACCTTCTAGTCCATAGGCCAACACTCTATCCACTGAGCCAGACTGGTTTTGGCATCAGCCTTAGACATTTGTTGTTGATGATCAAGCACTTCAGCACGGAAACATCCATTGCACACGGGGTGTCCGGTTGCACCTGAGGCCGGGGATCCCGCTCCCTGACACTGCCCCTTTCCTGTCCTGCTGGGGCTCAGCGGGAGGCCTGGCCAGGTGACCTCTGAGCAGCGGCTGGCGCTGACGGGGAGCGCAGGGGCAGCTCTCGTCCTGCGTGTCGCAGGCTTGGCCCTGGCGAAGGCGCCCTGTGTCCAGCCACGGACCTGTGTGCACCTGTGCGGATACACAGTGCAAGGATGTGCATACGCAGTGTACACATATGTACACACGGCTGCTTTCCTCTTCCTCCTGAAATATTCCCAAGTGATGAACAAGAGTGACGGTTAAACTCCTGGCTTAGTTTAAAGTGAGATGAAGAGGGAGAAGGGGGTGGAGGGTGGAGGAGGAGAGAGGACAGGCTGCGAGGGGGGTGAGGAGAGAGAGGAGGAGGAGGAGGAGAAATGGCAAAAGAAGGTCACAAAAAGTACCCTGCATGTCCTGTTTTAGGTGAATACCTCTTTCAGTTTTGCCCAAGTCACTCTGTGTGTAAATGGAGCCATATGAAATTGCTAACATCTGACCATTTTTGACCCATAAAAATGGCGATCTTAAATGGCCCCGGGCTTTCCCCTAAGAGACGGACTTGAGGAGGGTCTTTATGAGTGTGAGGCCCCTGGCCACTTGGTGTGCCCCACGGTGCACCACACGTGTACTTCAGCCATTTACTGTCTTCTTCTCCCTCCTCTCCCTCCCCTCTGCCTTCGCCCTCCTTCCTCCCTCCCCTTCCCCTGACACTTAACTCCAGTCCTGCTGTGCTCTGGCTGTAAATTAGGTGACTCCCTACCTTGACAGTTGCGCTTTTTCTTCCTGTTGTGTTTTTCTGTCATTTGCGAGCCACCATCTCCTCGCTCTTGGCTGAAATTGCACATCCCCGGGTTTGTCCTAATAGGGAAGTGTTCCTGCCACAGCAGACGAGCGTGAGCGTGCCATTATTTTTATACGGTATACATTGTATTTTTAGCTCATTCCGGAATACTGGAGATGGGTAGAGAAAAGGAGTGGAAAATACGGGCGGAACTTGGCGAAGGCGTCGGAGGAGGGTGACGGATGGGCTGATAGTGTCAGGCTGGTGAGGCACTTGAATCATCATCGCTGCTCCCAAAATCGCTCTCCCCTCCCCTTCCTCTTCCTCCAGCAAGGCCGTCAACAGTGTGAACTCTGGGCTGGAGTGTCGGGGTTTGAATCCAGCTCTGACTGGGTGCTTCGCCGATTCTCCCTGGGTCTCGGCTTCCTTTTTGGTAAAATGGATGTAAAGAGTCGGCACCGTGGGCTTGTGCTGGGCATTAGCTCAGTTCACCCATCAGCTGAGAACACAGGCACATCAGGTGCCACAAAGATTGCCCAGAGTCATTGCAGAGATGATGTGTCCCGTATCGCTGACCGGAAAAGCTCAGGCAGGTGCAAAGGGGAAAGGGGGACTTTGCCTGCCTTCCTGCCTGGGCCACACAGAGAGGAGCACTCGGTTGTGCTTGTCAATGATTGAAGAGGCATAGCCACCATTTCTTTACCTAATAGCCTATTTAAAAAAAAAATAATATATATATATATATATATATATATATATATATATATATATATGTTTTTATTGATTTTGAGAGAGAGAGGGGGAAACATCAACGAGAGAGGAACATCATTGATCGGCTGCTCCTGCAGGTCCCCCACTGAGGATGGAGCCCTCCACCCAGGTTTGTGCCCTGACCTGGAATTGAACTGGTGACCTCTTGGTTCCTAGGTCAATGTTTAACTGCCTAAGTCACATCGGCCGGGCCCAGTAGCTTATTTTAGTCTATGAAGACTGTTCTGAAAATTTAGATACGAAGATGTTTTCCTACTTAAGTGACTCTTCCTCGCCCCTCTGAACCAAAGCGCACACTGTTCTGCGCACCCCAGTTGGAGCGAGTCCCCATCTTTTCTGAGTGTCCCCTGTCCCGGGTCTCTGAGCCGAAGTTCATCCATCGGAAAGCGGGCATCGTAACAGCGCCCCCCCCCTCGTCGATTTGTGTAGGATTAAATGTGATGAGTGAGTGTTACAGGTAAACACGTGCATTGTACAGTATGAATTTCTGAGGGCTGCTGTAACAAATGACCACGGAGTGTGTGGCTTGCAACAGCAGATATTTCTTGTCTCAGTGCTGGAGGCCAGAAGCCTGAGATCCCCGTGTCGGCGGGGCCGTGGCCTGAGACTCGGGGTAGGACCTGTCCCTGCCTCTCCCTGGCTCCTGGTGGTTCAGGTTGGCCAGTAGCTGCATTGCTCTGGTCCCGGCCTCTGTCCTCACACGGCGTTCTTCCTGTGTGCCTCGGAAATTTCCTTCTTATAAGGAAGCCAGGTCTGTTGGATTGGGGTCTATCCTAATGACCTCATCTTTTTTAAAAAAAGAAAAACATTTCATTGATTTTTTACAGAGAGGAAGAGAGAGGGATAGAGAGCTAGAAACATCGATCAGAGAGAAACATCGACCAGCTGCCTCCTGCACACTCCCTACCAGGGA